ATCTGCCTGTAAAGTTGCACCTGCTTGCAATTATTACTGTAACACTAAAAGAAATAAGAAAATATACAAACTGCAAACAAATTTATTGAATATGTCAGTATATAGAGAAAATATACAACGTGCAAAATTTCTAACTTTACTAGTTTTCGCCCGCGACTCCGTCCACTTGGAATTAAAAAAAAATGGAACCCACCTGCAAGCATTAGCTTTCGTATAAGAAAATAATAATCAAAATCGGTCCACTAGCGGCGGAGTTATGCCGTAACACACATAAAAAACATATAGACGAATTGATTACCTCCTTCTTTTGGGAAGTCGGTCAAAAAACAAAAGTAACAACCTATGTATTCTTTCAGGCTATCCTCTACATGTATGACAAAGTTCATCGAGATTCGAGCTGTGTAGGCTACAAACTCTAACAAACATCCATATAAACATTCGCATTTATATTAGTAAGATAAATTTATCAACTCGTATCGTATCGAATTTTAACTCCAAATAATTTTACGACTGTTTATTTTGTTCGAATTTTAAAAAGGACTTTTATAAGAGTTACGCCTAAGGATTCCCATAAGTCCAGAAGTTTTGCACTTTGGTCGTTCCTGCAGAGGTTTGAAAGCATTTGACTTCAGAAGTATTCTCCGTAACCCATAGAGTAAGGAATAACTCTCTGCAGTTAAACATTATATTGAAATCTCTGGAGAAAAAAGGTTTAAAATTAATGGTTGTTATTTACAACAATTTTTGTTTAACTTAAAAACAGTTTCCTTGACAATAATGCCTGAAAATTCTCGATAAAGCCTCTTCCCTTAGTTAAATTTCTTAACGACATAAGTTTGGAGGGAAATCTTGATTCGCGCCGAAAAGATTTACCGAGTACTGTTTTGTATTTTTCTTTTAAATTAAAACATCATCGCCTCGCTTTTGTTTGTACTGTCCTCGATTTAGATTTCTTTTTTTTCTTGATTCATCCGAGATTCGAGATGGGAAAGATTAAGAACGAATTTCATTTGATTTCGTCAACTTTGCTTAACGTAGATTAATTTGAGATTTGCGATGATGGTACAATCAGCTTCATAAATGTGTATACTTTAACAAAGCCTTAAATATATGCTATCGGTTTCAAAAATGTGAATGTAAGAATACTTTCTGATTTCATGTGAGTTTATGATTTTGATGAAAAAAAACCGAAATCATAAACAAGTTTTAAAAGTTATGTATACATGTTTATGAAGATGACTGTACACGAATCAACATTTGGTTTGGCTGTGGTATCTTTTTTTAAAATGTTGTGTGATTTTAAAAACAGCAATTGTTATTAGAGGAGTATTTTCTTATTGGCATTACTTTTAAATTAATAAAATACAATACAAAATTCTCTCTCAAGTAAGCTTCATATTGTTAGCTTCGAAACGTCTGTTTTGTGACCAGAATAAATTTAATTTAAAGACTGCAGTAAATTTACGATGTTTTATTTCAAATATTCAGCGACGTTAACTAAATGCAATTAAATGAATTTAATTAGTTTTGGAGGGAAATAGTGGAGGTTGGTGTAGAAGAATTGAATGGATTCCGTGAAAGGTGATCAAGAAGAGAGTGACTTAGATGACAGGAATTCGAAAACATATGGTGATGATGATGATGAAATATTAATGCAAAAGGCTAGATTTGTTAGGGTTTGTAGCCTAAACTGCTGAACGGATCTCGATGACAGTGGTAGTGCCCGCTTTAACATCTTAGCACGAATGGGCCGGCACGCCCCCAGTAATACCACGACCACACAGAAGACAGGCGTGAAATGGAAACAATTCCGTGTTTCGTCTGATGAGTGTGGTGCCGGAGGCCTAATTTAAGTCCCTTTCTCTTTACCACCCTTTTCTTATAAAGAGAGGTTGGGAAGAGGAAGTGGATTTGACGGTGGAGGAGATGAATAGGTAGGGGAAATATCCTCTTTATGTGCGTCTCCTTCTCCGTCGGATAAGGGTAGGCAACGCATCTGCAATTGCGGATGTCTATGGGCAGCGGTCGCTTCGCCATTTTGGTGATTTCAGGTGGCCGCTTGCTCGTTTGCCACCTTATGTTATATAAAAAAAAGATGAAATCAGGTATAGATATAAAGGATAGTCTGGAAGAATACATAGGTTAATTACATTTGTTTTTTTATTCCACCCGGATGTAGTTGCGGTCGAAAACTAGTATACTAAATTAATGTACTCTCCTTAAGTATTGTCTATTGTTAATTTCTGTTTCATTAAACATTCCAATAGACCTGTAGCCTGTCCATTTATAGAGATCAATGTAAATATACTTTAACAGATCATAAAAGGGTGTTTTGTTTTGTAACACGTAAACAGAAAGTGTAGCTGAAAGATGAAAGTGCGACGTTTATGTCTTGACAAGTTAACACCTGTCTTTTGACTTGCGTTTTCGTGGAACTTTGTACGGGAATAAATTACGCGTCTTTGTTTATGTTGATTTACAAAGGCCTTTAATTAAAACTTCATACTTTAGAAACTGTATATTTTAACTATGGTTAATTTCAATATAATCTTTCACGTTGTTTATTTATATCGATACGTTTTTAAGACTCTAGTTTAACTTTTACTAAAACATATTTTCATACTTTTTAAAGCTTGAGAGTAGTCCCAGTGGAAGAGAAATAAAGCAGTAAAAGGTTGGCATGGTATGAGCATGTTATGAAGAAGGATGAACCAATCGCGTACACGGGTAGAGGTAGACGTAGGAGATGTATGGATTGCGTGAAAGGTGCCATGATTAAGAAGGGAGTGATCACTGAGATGACGGATAGAGTTATTTGGATGACAAAAACCCGGGGCACCGATACAACGGGAGTAAGATAAGGTCTGAGAGATGATGATATTTTCATTAGGATTATGCAGAAGGTATTGTGAAAGGCCTATGGTTATATAAGTGAGTATGTAACCTTCTCAAGGGCAACGCATCTATAGTTTCACTAGTATTGTGAACTAATATTCGCATAGAATCGTACAGAGTGCAGAAATACCCTTCAAGAGATGGTCAAGGAGAGTGGTCGCGACCTTCAGGAATGAAGAAACGATCCGGAGAGAGAAAGTATTGTGGATGTCCATAGGCGTTGATTGCCCATGTTGCTACTTATTTGCCTTATCTTATAAAAAAGTTATGAACATGTTTTGGACAGTGAGAGCTCATCTTTAGAATTAATCTTTTTATGGTAAAATGAAGCCATGAATAACATTGTAATCCTTATGATTATTTATTGCTTCCTGCTATTGTTTGTGTTGGATGTTTTAGGTTTAATGTCACATATATTGCGATGTGTATTTACATAACAATACATTGAAAGTTTTTACAGATATTTTAGTAATAATTTCTACCAGTTTATAATAGTTAGTCGGTGTCAGTCAATTTAGATTCATTACTTAAACGGTTCTATACTTTCAATTGACAATTGTTATGGTACAAATGTAGAAAGCCTTACGTATTACTGCATACTTCGGCTGACACCGACATCAAAGTAAAAGTAATTGTACAATACAGACATAACAGCTATAATAAGGGAGGTTTACAATTTTCAAAGAATTATTTCGTTACTTTTTAGTGGACTGTTTTTTGAGTATATTTTGTTTTTAGTGTATTTTTTTAACTAAAGTAACATAGATAAATTTCAACCAAGGTTGTCTCGTCTGATTTTTTAACTCTCTGGGGAAGAATTCGAAACAAACGACAAACACTTTAGCCGATTCAATTTTCGATTGTTCGATTTCAATTCGATTGTTTATGTTAGTGATAAACAAACAAGTGAACATGTTGGAATCCCGCGATCATTAACCTATGCAAAATTACAAATCTTACTAGTATAATAATTGTTAAAATAATTTTGATTTTATTCTATACTATGATTCTATTTTTTTAATTCCAAGTATAATAAACTTCAAGTATTGTATTGACTTAGTATTTAAATACTTTTGTAAATTATAAATGCGATTAACACTGGCTTATAATCTTAATTTGCAGACGGAGTTGCTAGTAATAGCTAGTCGTAATAATATTATAACCGTGAAAGTTTAGATGGATGGATGTTTGTTAAAATTTGTATCCTAAACGGCTGAACAGGTTTCTAATTAAATTTGGTACAGATGTAGATGATAGGAAGAACACAGAGGCTACTATTTTTTGTGTTTTTTTTTAATTCACCGCGGATGGAGTCGCGGGTGAAAGCCAGTGTTATATAAATCGAGGTAGACATGTGTAACTGACATAACTTTTGTTGTTGCAACAAAAAACAAAAGCAATAACGCAAACAACGTCAATTAACAAAAGAACATCAAATACGTTCCCAAAAACTTTGTTGCAATTGTTCCTGTAAAGGTGCCTTTGTTGTTATGGAATAGGTTCACCATCGTTATAAAAGTAAAGTACGGAATTTTACAAGATTTAAATAAAGAATTGAGAATTTAAGAAAACTGCAATTTTAATTCTCTTAACAAGGAATATCTTCTATTTATATGTCTAATTTGAATAAGATTTTATTTTATTTTATTTAAAATATTACATAAAAAAAATGGCCCCGCAAAAACCATATAATTGGTTTGTCCGCGGGTTTATTAAAATCATTTATTACAGAGTGATCGTTTTTATAGTTACAAAAAAATGTTTGCACTATACATAAAGACAATCTTACTAATATTATAAATACGATGGTTTAAATGGATGGATGTAGAGTTTGCCGATTCCACGACTGAACGGATCTCGATAAAATTTAACATAGATGTAGAGCATAGTGTAGATTCTAGACTCTAGAATAATACATAGGCTACTAATTATTTTTAAATTCCGCGCGGTGGCGTCGCGGGCGAAAGCTAGTCTTAATATACTGTATAATTAAATGCTCATATTCCGGGGATTATTAATTGCAACGTTTGCAAAATCCTGCATAGTCCTTAAATTTGAGGTCACTACGCGGTACCAGGAGATCAGAATGACGGTGGAGCGTGCCGCGAGAACACGCGCCGGCCGTCGCGCGACTGCGACCGGTCGAGCGATCGATCCTGTGATAAATCCGACGTTTACTGGATTTATCGCACGACTGCGTTGAAACGATTTGTGGTTGCGGTGAAAGTGTGGAGTAGGATTTTTATTGTTTCGAAGTAAGTTGATTTTTGTTTATTTATTTTTGGAAATCTTAAAAAAACAGTTAATTGCGACTAATAATTTTGAAATATCTTAATGCGAAGCTTTTTTGTGAAGGTTTAAAGTTTCTTTTTTAAAAATTAAATATTAAAAATACAGAACACGATGAATTAATTAAAATAAATTTACATATTTGACAAAAATCTTCCATAGTTATTAACAAATAAAACGACAAATGGCTAAATAGAAAATGGGGGTAAGAATAAATTATTAGAGTTTGAATTGGTCTCACAGGAGTAGAATTTATTTTTCTATAAGTGGAACTAGATTTAACGTAGTCTAGATGTCTGTCATTTCTTAGATTATTTGTTAAATATGGATATACTAGCTGTTGCCCGCGACTTCGTCCGCGTGGTATTAGAAAACATACGAACTATATGAATGTCAAAAAGCTACGTATCCCTCGGGAACCGGACATTTCTCGGGGATGGCGTTTATCCCATTTGTACTCCAGACTTTGTTTTATATCTGTGCCAAATTTCAATGAGATGTGTTGAACCGATACAGAATTAGAGTAAACATTTAAAAATAAAATTTATGACTCCAACGTGAAGCGTGACTATTTCCGGGATAAAAAGTAGCCTAAGTGTTCTTCCAGAGTACGCTGTATATCTGTGCCCAATTTCATGGAGATCTGTAGAGCCGTTTAGGCTTTAAACTTCAACAAATATCCATCCATCCATCTAAACTTTTGCGTTTATAATATTAGTAAGATTATATTATTAGGTAACTGGTTCTTGTTACTCGTATTACTGTAGTTTTGTTTACTTAAACAGTAAGTAATGCTTTTAAAGTATACTAACAACTACTTCCTTACAATACAGAGTGTGGTTTTTGAATGACTAACTACAGATTTGAGAGAAATTTTACTAGGTCAAGTATCTCATTAGTAGATTAATGATTATATCGCACCAGACTCTTGAATAATACAAGATGTAGTCGAACTTCAAAGGCATTAGAAGTTATTTATGTTGGTGGTTGAGGGTGTTCAAGGAGTTTTTACACGTTACTAGAGACAAGCCATTAGAAAAGAAGAAGAAATTAAATAATTCAAAATTAGAACACATCGTTGACGTCATCACTTTTTTCTAGTCTGTTTCTGTACATATTGTGTCATTACATAATGTCTCCGTTAAAATAGTTTTATTTCTAAATCTTTTACGATATACATTTTGTATGTCGAAGGAGTTTCTATATGTAGTTTTAGGTTGAATGCCATTTGCTAAAAAGAAAAAATCAAATTTTAAAGTAAGAAATGTAAAACATTTTTCATTTGTCTTTTCCTGTAAATGTTACACAATACATGTTTCTTTGCTCGATTTAAAGTGATTTTTTATTTAAAACCTAAACAGAGGGAGATTGGAAACATTTTTAAAAACATTCACAAAGTACAAGTAACTTGTTGATTTATTTACTTACAACGCAAATAAAACACAAACGTACATAAAACTGCAATAATACTGGACAGGGAATTAAAAAAAAATTAAAACGTGAAAATTAGGTCGTTTTGTATTTTATGGATATTCTAAAAGTAAAAAGGAATTATTAAATAAATCAATTTAATAAGAACGTAGCGGATAGGTATAGTTAAGAAGGTACGAGTGAGTGAATGAACGAGTAATAGAGTGAGTGAACGGGTGAATGAGTGAGTGATTAATTTACAGTCTCTACCGCTGTTGCAATTACAATAAATCACTGACAATGTACCGCCAATGCGACTTGTTAATTTTGTTGTTCAATAAGGTGTCCTTATTGTTCAAGGAAACAATATGGGACAATTTAATTGTTGCTTTATTAATTGAATAAAAAATGTATTTCGATACGTTTATATTTTTTTCTTACAATTTTATGTAAAAATTATTATGTTAAGATTTTTATATCATAAGATAGCAAACGAGCAAGTGCCCACCTGTATTCGCCGCTGCCTATAGACATACGAAATTGCAGATGCGTTGCCTACACTTAATCCACGGAGGAGGAGACGCACATAAAGATGATATTTCCTTCTTCTACGCGTCTCTTACACTGTCAAATTTACTTCCCTTCCCATCCTTAAAGTGTGTAAATTTGATATACCTTTGTCTTGTTGCTTTATCTCAATAAGTATAAAAGTAAAAAAATTCCTTATAAGATAAGGGTGGAAAGGAAAATTAACTAAAATTAGGCGTCCGACACACAATTTTATATTGGTTTGTTTCCTGTTATATATTTTCACTTCTTCAGGTTTTACTTCTGAAACAAATCTTTTTATTTCTAGCGTAATATAAATTTCACTTAAGATGTTTCATAACTATCTTATAGCCCAAGTTCTACATGCATTAGCATTCTCGTAACTAAGTTAACTGGTAAAGAAGATTAAATACACTCCAAGTTAAAGTCAATGGTGCAAGTGAGACTATTAAGTTGTTCAAGCTAAGCTCAACTTCCATACTTAGCTTGTTAATTGGCCATGAAAAGTGCAGTTCCAGCGATGCCTCTTGTGTTCCTAGGAAGCACTATTGTTGAATGTAAACCATTATTTATGTTTCTTTAAAACTGTCTTAATGGAACTATTTAAACTTTATCTTATAAGAATATTAAGATAGTGTATTAAAAGTTTATTATTTCTAAGATAAAAAACAAATAAATCACGCATAGAATTATGATAAACAAACCCATGCTAAGGTTACCTGTTTTAACCATAATTATTAGACAATGGGTTCGATATACGAAACTTTAATTTTCGACTATTCAAGCAAAGTTGGGGCGGTTTGCTAGTGAAAAATGTTAACTCATTTTGTATGAAAATACAGCATTAAAGGGAACGAACTACAAACTACATTAAAAAGTTAAAATCTGAGCTTTCAGAAAGCAGGGTTAACGGGAATGCTAAAACGAGTTCTGCTTAAGCTTTTAAGCCAAATCCCGAAACTGCTGACATCGAGTGCCATCAATATTTCACTATTCCTTTTAATGAAAAGAAAAAATAAATGTGTCAAGTAACAGCAGAATCCGATAATCGACCTAGATCTAGATTATCTAGATTTTTTGCTTATCCAAGGTAACACTTTTCATCCATTTGTTTTTTATTTAATGCATCCAAATATGCAAGTTCATACATTTTGTAGAGCGTCGGTGGTTTTTATGTGTGTTACGTCATAACTCCGTAGCTAGTGGACCTTACTACCTTGCAGGTAGGTCCCATTTTTTTGTTTGATTTTTGGAGTCAAAGACTACGGCTTAGTTAAATAGTTTAGCTCAAAATGGCGTGACGAAATTTGGAGTATTTTTTTCTTTTTTTGCCTACGTAGCCTAAACTATAATTCATTAAATGGTGGTTCCGACAATATTAATTTAAACAAATCTTGAATCATGAGAACATCTTTAATCTCAACCTTCAGAAAAAATTGACACCAATAAAAAAACAATTCCCGTAATATTTTCATAGAAACCTCTATAAGCTTGGAGACGAAATATTACAAACTATCTGGCTGTCGTTTATAATTCCCGGAATGGCCGGCCGTAAGCCCCGGGCTAGGCGACTCGCCCACGCCGGCCACTGGACGAAGATAAATCTACAGACACTCCTAACCGCTTGCTTTGTGCTTTGGGAATTGTATTGTATCCTACTTCGTGAAAGTTTGAAGATATCTTGGAATTCATAAATATAATAACAATGTTTATTTGAATGACTAGATTCTATCTTACTAATATAAATGCAAAAGTTAAGATGGATGTTTGTTTTTTTTTTTAATTTTTTTATTTCCTACTGCTATGTTTTTTGCAGCAACCTTGTTATCTTTGTAGTTTTTGTTTCTAGTTTTTACCTTATGTTTTTTTTTATTATTTTTTGTTTTTTTATCTAATTTTTTTGATTAAAAAAAAACAAAAAATAATAAAAGGATGTTTGTTTAAATTTTCCAACTAAACGTCTGAACGGATCTCGATGAAATTAGGCACAGATGTAGATCATACTTTGGAAGAACGCATAGGTCTATTACTTTAGCTTTTAGTCCTCTGCAGACGGAGTCACGGGCGAAAGCTAGTTTGTAAGTTCATCCTTATTGACAATGACCTGTAGGTTCGTTTCCATTTCTTAATACTAAAATCAAATCCTGCAGTATGATCCAATTCAGTACCTATTGAGATTTCTTTATTATTCGCATTTAAATTAATTATTTACCAGTACTGGATTCATTCATGTTTGAGGATAATTTAAAGCCATTTATGTCGCATATTGTGTGAGAACGTCTGTTGTCCCTGTCATGTCATAAACCAGTGCTGCATGACCTTTACGATGCATTATGCGACTACCACAATAGAGTTATTAAATTATGGATCTGCATTTGTCAACGTACATCATGCTTATTGGAATCAACAGCAAACGTTAATGGTTAAATAGCTTCAATAACATTTTAATATTATTATATCCGTTCAATATTTTTTCAAGAATATTTTAATTATTTACTGCTTTGACAATAATTTAGTTTGTAGTCTTAACTACCGTTTACCGCATTCCATTATAGCTTTCAATACTGTGTTTAAAAGGATTTAGATTTTATTAAGTATATTAAGAACTGCTCTCTTGGATCATTCAATTTTTCTTTGCTAATCTTACTAATTCTTACTAATATTATAAATGCGAAAGTTTAGATGGATGGATGGATGGATGGATGTTTGTTAGCGTTTGTAGCCTAAACGGCTGAACGGCTCTCTATGAAATTTGGTACAGGTTTAGAGCATAGTGTGGAAGAACACATAGGCTACTTTTTATCCCGGGAATAGTTACGGTTCCCGTGGGATTCATTAATTTAGTTTTTTAATGTTTACTCGATCATTCTGCAACGGTTCAACATATCTTATTGAAATTTGGCACAGATATAAAACAAAGTCTGGAGTACACATGGGATAAGCTTCATCCCCGAGAAATGTCCGGTTCCCGAGGGATACGTAACTTTTTGTAATTTATATAGTTTGTATGTTTTCTAATACCACGCGGACGAAGTCGCGGGCAACAGCTCGTATTATATAAAAATGAAAACTTTATTTTATTTATGTTATTTATTTATTTACATTTAACTACATACGTTTATGTTTGTTTGATTGTAATGAATAGGCTCAAAAACTACTTGGCCAATTTTAAAAATTCTATCACCGTTATAAAGGTAATTTATCTGTGAGGAACATAGGCTACATTTTTTCATTTCTTTATTATTATTTCCAATTTCACGCGCGTGGAGTCGCAGGCAAAAGTTAGTATTTAAATAAATAGGTCCATATAACTTTGGTAACAAAAGTAGCATTTGAACTAATATCATTATTATCGAAATATCAAACAACGTATTCAAGATAATGTATAGGGACTCTTCGAATATTTTACTTTGTTAGATAGTCTAGGAGCCAGATGTCCCCTTAATGTTAATGACCGAAATATAGGCCAAGAGTCTTTACGATGTTGACAACCTCGTTTGCAGAAGTGAAATTTTGCTCCGATAAAATATCCCACAATCTATAAAAGTAATTCAGCAGTAAAGTATTTTTTGTGAAAGAATCCATTATTTTAGATTTGTTTTGCTAAGGTTTTTGAGTGATTGCTGTGTGACTGGCCAGATCGTTGATAATTTTTCGATGGTTAAACTATGTGCAAATACAACTTTTTTCTGCTTCTTCTGCTGAACTTTTTTTTCAATGGAAGATATGACTAGAAGATAACTTATTGCCAAGTTATGAGTACTTCAACAGTATTTTTATGTGTATTTTCTTTTGTTTTAGGTAAATGATATCGATGCCGATATGAAATGAAAATTCAAGAAGATATCAGACCTTTTTGGTTGATCATATTCTTTCTAAATCAGTCAGAATGTGATTGGCTTAATTGTGGTAATATTGAAAAATGTCACTGCAAATGGTCATCGGGGAAGAAGACCGCCGTCTGCTCTTCAGCAAAACTAACAAGTATACCACGACTGTCTGCAGATATACAAGTTTTGGACTTACACGAGAATATTTTACAAGAAATAAATAGAGACACATTTACTGATATAGACTTGTTAAATCTACAAAGATTGAATTTAAGTGATACCAAATTAAAAAGAATCCACAACAACGCATTTAGAGAATTAAGAATTTTAATAGAGTTGGATCTCTCTCATAATCGACTTCATCATTTGTCACTTGAAGTATTCGATGGAATTGATCGCTTAAGACATTTAATACTAAACGATAATCCACTTAAAGAATTCCATGCTGAACAATTCCCTATACTACGTCATCTGAAGAAACTAGAAATATCAAAATGTCAACTTCAGAAAATTCACCCCCTAGCATTTTCAAATCTGAGAGTACTAGAAACAATTCATGTACATCAGAATTTACTATCATCCATTCATCCGAACACCTTCAACTTGCCATTTTTGAAAACTTTAACATTGTCTGATAATCCTTGGTATTGTGATTGTAAATTACGGGATTTCCATGAATGGTTTCTTAACGCAAATTTAGGGAATGAAGAAGTATTATGCACTGGACCGAAGAATTTCGCTAACACATCATGGCAATATTTAAAACAAAACGAATTCGTTTGCCCGCCATTTGCTATTACTAGTCCCACTGTTTTGAGAGCAGAAGTGGGCGCTGAGATTGCTTTCGGATGCTTCGTTACTGGAGATCCAATGCCGAATGTTTCTTGGTATTTAGGTAACAAAGAAATACAAGATTTGATGACAGAAGAACTCAGAATTAAAGTCATCAAACATGACGTAGAGAATGAATATTCTGATATGATAAATAAAAGTGCCCAATGGGTCAATATAAGTATTTCAAATATAACGGATGAATTCTCAGGAGAATGGACATGTCATGCCAATAGTTTTGTTGGCGAAGCAAGTGCTAGTTTATCTTTATTTTTATCAACACCACGTACAGCAACCGCACGTTCTGCTCCAGAATTTCCTAAATTCATATTAGTAATTATTTCCATATTAAGTCTGACTTTAATCGGATTTATAGCTACTTGTATTTGTTGGAAAACTAAACGCCGTAGTTTAACTCCGAGTAAAAGTTTCATAGATCAGGAAAAGAAATTACTCGATTCTTCTTTAGCCAGTTGTGGTCGACAGAGTGTTGATTTAAGTTCATCGTATGGCTTTGAAATGTTAGACAGGTCAGCGTCTATCGACAGTACGGACACTCAACGTTGTTTGGATACTGTTCAAATTACTTTAGAAACTTCTGGGCAATTTCCTTCACCGCCGATAGAGTTTACTTTACCGAGTTCTTTCGCTAATATATTTATATCGGTGCAGTTAACCGACAAAGGTGATGGTAACTCTGATTTTTTGGGGAATGATAGAAACGTGTCTCATTGTAGACCATGTTTTTTGGAATCATCAAATGAAAATACCTGTACTAAATTTAGAACACCCAGTTGTTCAACTTGGTCTTTTTCAGAAAACAATGCAACTAGTCGTACAATGGAAAGGAATTTAAAAACTTCTTTGTCGTCCTTTTCAAATGAATTCACAGCACTTTGAAGTAGTCGTGGAAAATATTATATTGTACTTCGGATTGTCATATTTCATTTCACAATATGAAAATTTATATTGTACTCTATATCGTGTTAATTAGCTTTATTCGTTTTGAGTTGAATTTATTACTTAGGTTTATTTACGTGAATTAAATAATAAAACAATTGACAGTAGCTTTTATGAATAGCTGATATGAATGATGACATTAACTAAAACTGAATTTGATAAAGTAATAGAAAGTTCAATTTATGTCAGTAATAGTTTTTAACTTCACGCACTTTTTAAACTCTATTTTAGGTCTAGTATTACTTAGTATCTCATATCATTCTAGAAATTTTCTATATCTCTGATTATGTTTCGGAAATCATTGAAATCTGTATTTCTTCACAATAATGTTTTCTCGTCAAATGTTAATTGTTTTAGTGACATTTTACTTTTAAATAGGTGCAAAATTTTTATAAGAAACTAAGATGGATAGTTCTAGAAATTATTGAAGAAGCGTAGTCATTTGTTTAAATACTTTCAACCGATATTTATGGCGCTAACTAGTATTTAATTAGTAACGTAATTTTGTATGTAATTTAAAGATTTTTTTTTCATAACGATTTCACGGGAATGTTTGTTAGTTTTTTAATTAAGTTTTAAAACAATCCAAAGATTAATTGATTTCTACATACGAATAAACAGATTATTAATAAAATGACTTTTATTATAATTAAGTAGTAGTAAATAAATAATGTACCGACGACTTCCCTTTTTGACCATCTTTTATAGGGCGTTTCCCCACTCTTAACGATTCCTGGCCATGTATGCGATGTAAACTGACATCATCACCAGCTCATTATGCGCCACATTAAGGGGCTCAGATCCCGCCCTAAGTTAGGGATGCGGCCGTAGTCAACTACGCTGTGCCACTGCGGATTGATTCTACACATATATTTGAATTTCTTCATCGATATGTGCAGGCATCACGATGTTTTCCTTAACAGTTAGAACGTCGGTCAAGTGCTTGAACCTCTGAGCCACCGACGCTCTTTAGCTGACCGAATTAGAGACCTCTAATTAGAGGGGTATTGCAGAATATAGTTCGTCCTAGAAACTGTAACATCTACTTCATCATCAATTTGCCCTTATCCCTTATGGAGGGTCGGCACAGTATGTGCTCCATACATCCCTATCAACCGTCATATCTGAATCCACTCCTTTCTTAAGCATATCCTCTATCACTCAATCTTCATCCTTCCTTACTTTCTTCGGTCTTCCTCTTCCTTAGTAGCCATCCACATTCATTCTTCACACTTTTTGGTTTATGTCCCCATCGTCTCGTCGCATAACATGTTCATACCACGCTAACCTTTTGCTTCTCATAACATCTACTTATTTACGGTAATGCAATTTAAAATGACTCGCTGTATGAATACTCAAACTTAAATGGCAGCTAAAATTCCAGTAATATCCTAGATAGTGTCTACTTCAAACGTTTTCAGTCGCGAGCTTACCGGATACATGCACATGTGCTTTTATGTTTCATTTTTACGTACAAAACTGTCGGGATAACTTCACAAAGTTAGAAGAAATGATAGCATTAAAATTACCTCTTTGGTAAAAGATTCAGTTTAAAGTTCTTTTTGCTTTTAGTTTTGTTTTATAAGTGGAAAAGGACAAACGGAAATATAAAGATTCTCACACGCAAATTGACATCTGCACACCAAAAGAACTACAGATACATTGTCAGCCTTTCAGAAAGAAATAGGCTCGATATGAAGGACTGTTAGTAGTACTGGTTTGAAAATATCCTTAGGAGAAACCGTTCCACGACCAAGATGTGTGGGACAGGAAATTCCATGAAAATCATATCGTTGAAGAATGCTTTCATACTTTAATAAAGACATGTTCTCAAAGAACATTAACGTTTTTGCAACTACAAATACTTGTTTTTTTCCTCTTCTTGCCTTTATCGCATTATTGATATTTGTGCACAAGATTTTATGCAGCTACTTTAATGTTTTCGTTTAATTTTTATACCTATGCGTGACCATAATTTGGGTCTACGTTAACCGTAGAAAAAGAGTGGTATTTTCTTTCAAAGAAATCAACATCTGACAATCAAACTTATAATTGCGTTTAAAAAATAAACAACTGTTCCTTCCGTATTCTTAGAATTAATTTATTTAGGACTGATCCCGGAAAAGTTTTAGGGTAACACGTGACATAACGAGGGGATAGCCGAATCGGGCGCGTGACATTTCAATTTGTACAACATAATGGGGGCCATTGTGAGGCAGCCGACGTCCGGACAGTACCAGGCGTGCATACAAAGCATGGGTAACTGAATTTGCCTATCGAATAGTCGGGTTTGCGTGCAATAAATATACTCATGTTTATACTTGAGATGTTAATATTCCAGTGTCTTTGAATTTCATATATTTCCTTGCGTAAAACGAATATTTATTTTCTTTATAAATGAAAAAATATCTGCATCCCTTGATCATGCTATCACGAGTGTACGGTTCATACCGTACCTACTATTTCGCTATTTAACTTCCATTGTTTTTTTTTATTTTTATAAGGTCATGAAGAAATTAAATATTAGAAAATTATCTCAATTCAATTTCATATACTTTTAGAACGTAATCTTATACTTAATTCAGTTTTTTTTTCGGCGCGGATTAAGTCGTAAGCAAAAGCTAGTTTCAAATAAGTAATGCCCCTTTCATAGAGTTATTATAATATAGTTTTTGGGGAAGGTAGAGATTATAAATTTCTATTTGGTGCAATCTAGCACATATCTTTCGTCTACTAACTTTTACGTAAACTTAGGGCATGTTCCGCCCAATTGTGAATTGTCTGATAACAATCCAACCTGTAATATCGTGGAAATGTTGGATTTTGTTCCCTTATCTGACAGTGACGTCATTTTTAAACTATCTGAGCCGCTATCAGCCAATGGTAGTACAGGCCCTTAATTTTTAGAATAGCAAAATTTATTTCCAACAATTTTAGATACACGTTAATAGCACAGAAAAACTGGTTACCATACGAATATATTCTACAAATCCTACATGGATTTTCCATACAAATTCCTGTCCCAACGTCCAACTAACAATCTTTCTTTGGAAATCTCTACAATGTTACTCGATGCGGAAAATATGTCCGTTATAACAAGCACCTTGGTTCCGAACAACTCGATAAATCTATTCAATCCCTTCTGTTCATACGAACGCTATTGTATTTTGTCACTTTCCCGAACAAAAACCTCTCTGGAGATATCATTTTTATGAGGCAACAGGATAAAAGGGACCAAAGGCTTATATCTAATGCAATTCTTTTATATTTAAAATAATTGGAACTGAGATGAAAAAATAATTATGACAATGGAAGGGTCACGCATACAAATGTACCTCTTACTTCTATTAATCGCAATACTAACATTCGTTTAAAATAACAACATACAGTTACGTTAAAATACGGGAGAGATTTGAGTTTTTCCGTTGCCCTAGGCTAGATTTCTATTGCGAGTCTTAACTGGAGTACTAAAATATACGAAGAAGGGCATAAAGAGGCACCCAATAATACCCGACGCCCTGGGTTGGCACCCCAGCACACCCTATCCTGACGCAGTTGCAGTAGTTATACGGGTCCGTCTACAACACCAATGTTTGTTAATTTTTTTTAATTCCTCTATTAAATAATGAATTAAACCTAAACTAGATGAATAAATTATTAATTTACTGCCTGAAATACCAAAAATAATCTTACCAATAAGCACAGTTTACTTTTCAAGTTAATAAGGACCTTTGATTTCCCTTGCGGTACGATCCATTATATCGCCCGTCAGTCTTTTACGACTAGCACTAAGTACAACGAGTAATGTAATGTTGAAAAAAATATGTCTTAAATAATCCTTTCATTTCCGAGAACCTATGACTAAACTGTGGCATAAAGTAAATAAAATAACGTTTAATCTTATCACCACCACAACACAATTAGGAATTAGAGAAAAAATAAACAACAAAATAATTAAAAAGATAATAATAAACACGTAATTAAAGGACATACAAAGTATTTAAAATGTGTATTGCAATGCTGACCGAATTGGGTCCTCGCTCAGCTATACATATGTACGCACACTACTCTAATTTTTCAACAGTTTTTTTTTTTATTTATTTTTACAGGGGGCTTTGTCGCGCAGCGACGATAACGCCCCATAAATCTTAAACAAATAAAACTTAATTAACTGATTGTTTTCTTAAAACAGATGTCGGCCAACTTAAACACCATCTCGGCCTCTTTTCAACAGTTGATTTCGCTGTGAAACAATCGACAATCGCACAACTGTTCTGCAATTGTTTAGTTAGAAGTGTGCGCCGGCTTATGGTCATAGTTTAAAAGGAATAGGAGTAACCTTTTTCGAGCGTTTTTACATGTATGTGATACTAGCTTTCGCCCGCGACTCCGTTAGAGTGGAATTTTTTTTAAAAAAAAAAAAACAGAAATATGAAATAATAGTAGCCTTTGTGTTCTTCCTGACTATCCTCTATATCTATAGCAAATATCTTAGAGATCCGTCCAGCCGTTTAGGCTACAAACTCTAACAAACATCCATCCATCTAAACTTTCGCATTTATAATATTAGTAAAATTAACTCCTAAGCGACTGAATACTATTTGAAAAGTACGGTTTTATAAATTTATTTTTGACCTCTAAATCGGTTGGGTTTTTGATTAATAAATACTGAATTAGTAATTTTAATTAAAAAAAATGTAGTTTAAAGTAAATACCAAAGACTAAATTTCACTTAGAAGTTTTATTTTTGCGTAAAATGTTTTAAGTAAATGATTTTAAACGTCTTCCAGTAACCAGATTTAGAGTTGATCGAGAGGCTTTTATCCGACAGAAGTTCACTGATGTTATGTAATTTAATATTCACAAACGAGCAACGTTTATACACAGTATGTTATGTAGAGAAGTCAATTTTTCCTTTGAAAAATATTTTTAAGTTACGTCTTGAATTTTTTATTGAATCATTTTCGTTTGATATACGCTTTAAATCTCGATGAAGGTATCTTAAAATTTAATTCTGAACATGTAGTTATCTTCGATAATTAATTCTAATTTTAAAAGTTAACTAGCTAGGCGTAGCTGACAAAGCTGGGAGGCGTCCCGGCTTTCTCAGTTGTTGTTGGAGGAGTTGTTAATAGACAATTGACGTCAATCGTCTATTCCATTCATAACATACGCTCAGATGTCACTTTGACGTAAAACACAACAAAGTTTCTCAAGGTCAAAAAGTCAAAAATCGATTCATTTTTATTATTCCTGGTACAAATAAGTGGTAATTAATAATTCTATTCATTAATTTTTTATTTTAGAGTTGGTTTTGATATCGTGTTTACAGTAAAATACTTCAAGAGTGTATTTCTATATAAACTAACGAAAATGAACTGTTAATTGACAACACAGCGACGCCATATTAGATAAGCCACTTGCTTCGACCAATAGTGTGCGTTTTAGAACTTGGCGAGGAAATTTGAAAAAAGACACTTTTTAATGATTAAATTTTTCCACTAAATCACATT